GCCCCACGCTTCCCCTCCCCCGCCCCACGCTTCCCCTTTGCGCGGCGTCGTTTATCGCCTGAATTCGCTTATTCGCCGCTCGGGTCATGAGGTTTCATTAATTATCTCGCGTTAATTCGTCTGCATAATCCGTTAATTTGTCTATATTTCGTTAATTCATCTGCATAATTTGTTAATTCGTCTAGATAATTCGTTAATTTGTCTACATAATTCGTTAATTCGCCTACATAATCCGTTACTTCATTTGCATAATTCGTTAATTCATCCATATAATCTGTTAATTCGCCTGCATAATTCGTTAATTCGTCCATATAATTCATTAATTTGTCTGCATAATCCGTTAATTCGTCCATATAATTTGTTAATTCGTCCACATAATTCGTTAATTCATCTACATAATTTGTTAATTTGTCTGCATAATTCGTTAATTCATTAATTCGCCTACATAATTCGTTAATTTGCCTATATAATTCGTTAATTTGCCTATATAATTCGTTAATTCATCTACATAATTCGTTAATTCGCCGATAATTTGTTAATTCGCCTGCATAATTCGTTAATTCGCCTGCATAATTTGTTAGTTTATCTACATAATTCGTTAATTCATCTATATTTCGTTAATTCTCCTGCATAATTCGTTAATTTGCCTATACAATTCATTAATTCATCTACATAATTCGTTAATTCGTCTGCATAATTCATTAATTCGCCTGCATAATTCGTTAATTTGCCTGCATAATTCGTTAATTTGCCTATACAATTCGTTAATTCGCCTGCATAATTCGTTAATTTGCCTGCATAATTTGCTGCATAATTTGTTAATTTGTCTGCATAATTCATTAATTCGCCTGCATAATTTGTTAATTTGTCTGCATAATTCATTAATTCGCCTACATAATTCGTTAATTCGTCCATATAATTCGTTGATTTGCTAATTTGTTAATTTGTCTGCATAATTCATTAATTCGCCTACATAATTCGTTAATTCGTCCATATAATTCGTTGATTTGCCTATATAATTCATTAATTTGTCTATATAATTTGTTAATTCATCTACATAATTCGTTAATTCGTCTATATTTCGTTAATTCGCCTACATAAGTCGTTAATTCGGGTTATCGAGGAGCAAAACGAGCCGCCCGGGCGATGATGTAAGCGCTCGTCCTTCCTCCAGTGTTCCCAGTATCCCCCCGTATCCCACTGCGACGCGACCATAAACCCGAGCGGGAGCCGAGCGACAGCTGGGAAGTGACACCAGGTGACGTTTGGGTCACACCAGTACCGGACTGGGCCAAACTGGTTCTCTCCCCACTGGTTGGGGTGGGGGTGGGGGTGACTCACCCGGATGCCTGGGTTGGAGGGGTCAGGAGGGGTCACCGTTGTCACCGT